CCCTACCCTGAGGGTCCTCACTATGACCCTCTTTCTGAGTATCCCTAGGGAGTAAAGTGCCACAAGGTTGGCTGTGGTGGTATACAGAGGGCACGTCTACACATTCAGTAATGCACCATAGTTACTGTGCATTAAATTTAGTACTTGTATAATCAAGTACTAAATTAATGCACAGTAATGGGCATTGCTCTGCAGTAGCACCAGTGCATGCCGTTTTAATGACACTACTGTGCAGTAGCCAAATAATACTACACAGTAGCATGTTAGCACTGTTTCTGCTGTGATGCACTATTGCACAGTATTATGAGGCTACTGTGCAGTTAGCATCCTGTGTAGATGTGACCAGAATGTATAACTGAATGAGAAGAGGGTGCATAAGCAAACACATCACAAAGGCCTCACAGGAAGTTGCAGGTGAACATAGGGAGGGGCTATGCGGCTCCAAAGGAAAGCAAGGTCAGGTCATCACTGGTTGACCTAGCCAAGTAATTAGTCTAGCAAATCAGCTCTATTACTTGTTAAAATTGGGAACCATAGGTCTCTGAGCTTCCCCAGTTTGCCAATCCTGTAGCTATTTTTGTATTCTGCCTAGCAACACAGTAGCTGAGCACCTACACCCTAGGTTTTAGCCCAAGCGCTCCCCTTTCCAGGTGTCAGCTTCTCAAGTCTCTCTGTGATAGGTCTGTGTGACCCTCAAGAGAGTTTGGAGCTTTGGCTGGATTTGGACACGCACCCAGAATCCCAAACATTCCTCTGAATTCACTCTAGCTTTTTGTTCTGGGAACCAGCCTGGGAACAGGCTGCTTTACTACTGTTTCCTGGTTTTGTCTGAAACAGACACATCTCAAATGTAGCCTCTCTGAGGTTATCTGCTCCCAGCCCTAAACAGGACCAGAAAGAACATAAGCCTGGAATATTTTCCCCCAAAATGAGTACAAGCAGTGAATCTAATTTATATCAAATCTCAGAAAGTTCAAATTCAGGTTGGGGTGAAGATTAGGTCAGTTTTTATCTTGCATCTACACACCCAAGCTCAGGCCATAAAACGCGTTCCGATTCTCAGTTCCAAGGGTTTCTGCCTTCACAGGGCCAGAATTTCCCTATGCATGGACTTGAAAGGTGCATCTACACATGCATTAATGTGCTTTATTTAATGTGCATTATATCTAGTACCTCCATTGTGATGCACTAGGAAAGCAAGCACTAATACCTCCACTGTGATGTACCTCCATTGTGTACTAGGAAAATGCACATTAGTCTACATTAATGCATATTAACTAAAGAGTACGGGGCATTTATTAATATCCTTTTTTTTGCAGCAACATACCAGAGATCCATTGCTTCAGAGCAGATGTGATTAAGTAAGTCTGCTCTGCATGCGAGCTGAGGTGAACTGCACTGTGCCGTATGTAGTTGTATAAATGGTGAAATGCACTTCAGGGTGCAGAAAATGGCAGCGGTGTACTTTTGAACTAAAGCACCTCTGAGCTGTTTTAGTTCAAAAGTGCACTGCAGCCATTTTCTCAGTGCTGACATGCATTTTTCCGCTTATACAACTGCATGAGTCACAGCACCGGGCAATTTTCAAAGCACCCAATGCTGCAACGCATGCATGTGTAAAAATGCACACAGTTTTTAAGTGATACTTAATGCACATCATCCTATTTTTATGTGCTTTAGCAAAAGTACACAGTTTTTAAGTGATACTTTAATGTGCATTAAAATAGGTTAATGCGCATTAAAACACATGTGTACATACACCATTAATTTTCAGCAAAGCAAAGGAGCCATGGATTAGCCAAATGCCTGAAGCTCCTTCCACTGAAGCAGGTAGCCTGCTGTGGATGCTTTCAACTCCTTTTTGCAGGCTTTTGTATAAAGCTCCAGAGTTTACTCAGGTGCAGTAATTGCACGTGTAAATGTGCCACCAAGGACTAAATTAGACCCTGGCCAGTCCTCAGGGTTGAGGAGCTTTAAAGATGGGGTAAAGCTGGCAGACTCCCCCTTTGGCTATAGCACTGAGTGCAGCTAAGCCAGATTCAAGAAACCAAGCCAAAGTATCTTGCTTAGTTTGCTTAAATTGAGTATTAATTTTGTCAGTTCTCCAAAAGTCTGTTGGGAACCAAGTTGTCCTAGTGCCCTCCTGGGGCTCCAGGTCTCCTGGAAACATTCTTCCATGGACAAATTTGCCACAATTTTATATCCACATTCCTGCCTTTCCCTCTGACCATTTTAGGACCGATCACTTTTATATCAGCCCACATGGAAACAGGAGGGTGGAAGACTAGGTTTTTCTCTCCATGAAGTCATAAGAAAGTGTTAGAGTGATGTTGTAGCCAGAATGGTCCAGGAATGATACAAAAGGCAAGGATCTCATAAGAGTTCATAAGAAAGAGCAAAGTCTGGTAGGTTCATGTGGTCTGATGAATACCTCTCAAACCAGTCCCAGTTTGTCCGGACTGTGGTAAATCATAATGAGTTTAAAGCCCTGGCTAATAAACCACAGCTTTCCTTCACTGGGAGACACTAGAAGCAGAGATACAGACAGCCAAAATGTGATAGGGGGAGGGGACAGGCAAAGAGACTAGTTCCTGTGTGTTTTCTTGCCTTAAAGATAAAAATTAACATCAATCAAATGAAAAACAGGCAACAATGCAGGAGCCTTAAAGAGGCCCAAGGTGCTACCTGACTCAGCGTCTAGGCAGGATATTGATTAGAGAGGCTATTCTTTATTGCTCAACTATTGTTTAACACTGGCCTGCTTCATGACAACACCAGGCGTGGGAATACAGCAGCTTTGGTGTTAAAAAGTGCTTTCATCACCATGTCAAGTGTAAGGGTCTCTGTACACATGGGAACAGAAAACGATGGGGCTGATAAGGAGAGAGAGTCATTGGAGCAGACATCCTCATTGTGGGAATGGCATGTGCATCTGATGCCGAACAAACACCTCCTACATACTTTACACAATTTAGTTCATCAGCTGTCTAACATCCCCAAACGAGCTGTGTTTTCATCTTCCAACCAGTCAGGCAAACTTGGTTAATGATCTTCCAGAAAACAGCCCAGAACTGAAAAGTTGCTGTATGCTAATAATGTCTGAACTTCTCTTCAGAAGGAACAGCTAAATATGGATATCTCTGCACCACAACTGCTGCTGTGACTGCTTCTGTAAAAACATCTGAGCTTGCCTTCAACTATGCAGCTCAGATACTGCTAGCAGTGGCAAAAGAGCATCAGCATAGACTGAACACTCAAGTACTTACTGAGCATCTCAGCCCATGTTAAGCTCCATGGTGTTATGGTTACACTAGTAGTCCCCAAGCTATCTAGTTTAAAGCTAACTCAGGTATCTCTACACAAGCTGCAACACCTGCAGTCTAGAGATTTGTTTTCATAGATTTCATAGACATTAGGGCTGGAAGGGACCTCGGAAGATCATCGAGTCCAGCCCCCTGTCCCAGAGGCAGGAAGTCAGCTAGAGTCAAAGGATCCCAGCAAGATAGGCGTCCAAATGTTTCTTAAAAGAGTCCTGAGTAGGTGCATGCACCACTTCTGTAGGGAGTCTATTCCAGGCCCTGAGGGCTTGGACAGTAAAGAAGTTTGTCCTTATGTCCAGCCTAAAACGGTCTTGGAGGAGTTTGTGACCATTGGACCTTGTCATCCCTTGGGGCGCTCTGGTGAACAGATGTTCCCCCAGATCCTGATGCTTGCCCCTTATATACTTATAGGCTACCACCAGGTCACTCCTGAGCCTGCGCTTTTCCAGGCTGAAGAGTCCCATGGCTCTCAGCCTTTCTTCATAAGGCCTGTTTTCATGCCCTCTGATCATGCGTGTGGCTCTCCTCTGGACTCTGGAGATGCATGCTTCCTTTCCTGGTCACATCCATTTAGACATTATTGCCACCAGGTAAGCTGCCCATGTGCAGCTTAGGGGCTAGAACATATGGCCTTCTCACTAAAACACAGACCTCAGACAAATGAGCTAGAAGAGAATCACCATTTGCTCACAATAGAAATAAAACTTCTGTCCACTTTATCAGTGGCCACCCACTAGTATAAGAGAGTCTCACAGACTTGCATGGGTGTAATTTCATCTACTAGAAGGCAAAGCTGCCACATTAAAACAGCAAGAATTTTGAGCAACAAAAATCTCTCTGGTTGCTCTTGGGGAGTAGATTCATGTGGCTAGTTATGATGTTTATACAACTGCTTTTTCTCCACTTCCATTAGATTCCCATAAACTTCCCCTCAGTTGTATATTGAGGTCCTTTGTTCTTTTCTAACTTTAAAAAAGTGAACAGAAAAAAATCCCATAGTAAGCGACCAGAAAAAATTGAGTGCACAAATTCACTTTAGGAAACCCAGAATGTATTATCAGAATGCAGCCTCACAACCATAGGATATATTTTGAGCATACCCAAAATATTTCTCCAGGATCTAAAAATGTTCTCCATAATCATGCATCACACTTTTCTGTGCAAGGCTTTGTAAAACATGAGACAGAGACAATGAATGAGCCAACCTTTTCTGAGACCTATCATGCTTTACATTCATTTCATCCAAGGATTTCTCTCTGAGCCTTCTTTTAATCCCAGTCAGGATTCAGCTACATGTGGTTCTCCAGTTTTCAGAAACTAAAAAACCAAATAAATAGTTATTTGAACTTTTGGTCAAAGGCAGCTTGATCCTACAGCATGCAAGTTAATGACAATAGGCCCAGAAAAATCTTCCTGACAAATATCCACTCTACTTGGGATACAAAAAATGTTCTTCCTTTACAACTACTATATACACCACACTAAATCTGGTTCCTATAGAGTATCTGCACCAGTCTGGGAGTCTTAATTATGATGTCAGCTCCCTTAGTACTAATTAGTGCACTCCAGAAGCCTCTGCATGTCATGTATTCAGTGTTCCCACACTTCAAAATGGCAGCAAGAGCACTTTAACTAAAGCTTCTCAAATGAGCTTTAGTTAAAGCACCCCTGCCACCACTCTGAAGCACAGAATGCTGAATACATGAGACATTGCGGGCGCTTTAACTAAAGCAGCTCTTGGAGCCACTCTAATTAAAGTCCACCCTCAGCCCTGGAACACGTGTAAAGATGCCCCTGGAGATCCTGGTGAAGGCCCCATCTTTCATCCTTTGAGTTACAGCAATAGTAGCCATAACAACTACCCTCTGAGCCACATCTCAACATGGTTTCCAAAAGTCTTGGAATTGCAGGAAATACCAATTTCTGACCCCAGAAATTATCTCAGTACTTCCCTTTCCACAGACTTCAGGACCCTTAAAATTTTTTTCCCAGAAAGCCCCAGCCTGCAGCCATCTATCCTCCCTCTAAAATGCAGACCTCACTGACTACCACCATAAAATTATTGATGCTAGAAATGCTGAATCATGAATATGAGGTTATTTATGAAACCTTTACCAGATTTTACTTAATGATGCTATAACATGTCACACAGCACATTGCAAAGTTGCTTTCTCTTCTGCTCTGTTAAACCGTTACCACCCATGCAATAGGAAACGAAATCTTTGACCTGTGATAATGGACAGAGTTCACATTTTTACATAAACTCAGCAATCTGGGACAATTTTGCCCGGCTTTGAACCATTTCTATTCATATTCTTCATTGTTCTTTCCATAGTCACATCCCATGGTATTCCTGCTTTGGTGACAGCACTCACACATACTGAGTGCCTTGTTCCAGAACAAGTCTCCAGTTCCTTTTGATCTGAGAAGAACCAGCTGATTGTTTTTCCTTCATGATGGCCCAGGCTAATTATGTGAAATCCTAGTGTCATCCACATGGGTATCACATGCAAGAATAGTCTATCACATTAGCATGTACTGCTAGTGCCCTCTCTTTCTCACAGACAGAGCCACAAATCATCCATCAAGCCCTGGGAAGAGTTTTTCCCAGAATTTAAGGCCATCCTTACCACTTCTGATGTCCCATTTAGCTGACATCTCCTTTCGGGCTTTTTTTGGCAATTTTGTTGCTTTATGTTTTTTCCAGTAAATTTACACTTTTCCACAGGCCCCTCTTAAGGAGGCTAATTCTGTATTTGAAGCTGAAATGGAAAGTTTTCACTAAAATGAAAAAGAAAAGTTCTTGGCCACAAAACTTTTTTTTAAAACAAATTCTGAACTTCAGAACTTCAAAAAACCCCTCCAGCCCCCTCTCTAACTGATATCAATAACTCCCCAGGTGTCAGCACCAAATTTCTGTAGGAGTCCATATGTGAAATTTAACCTAGAAAGGATCTGAACCACTATCTGCCCGTTTTGGTGTCATGAGCTGGTGTAAGATGAGAGACATGAAAAAAACAGCAACTCACGGTGTGAACATGTGGGTACTGCTTATAAGATTTGTATAAGTTTTATCCTGAGATGTTCTAGATCACTTGATTACACTTTATCTTCACTCCATCGTGCCTTGCAAAGAACAACCAAAAGTGCAAAAAGGAAACAGAGAGAATAAAGTTCTGGATTTATGTAGAACTCTTAACACTTGTGATTCAACCATAAGACAGATCATGACAAATGAATGACTACTGGGTAGAATATGAATAAAATATGATGAACAATTGACTAGCTTGGGAAGTGCCTGTGTTATACAGTGGGCAATATATTGCTGATTTGTTCAATGAATTTCCCAACCCGTTACCCCTCTTTTAGGAGGGTGACCTTACCCAAGGAGAACTAAATTGACTTCCTTTGTAGTTTCTCCATGTGGCTATTTACATTGCCTCAGGTGGTTGCTGCTGAGAAACGATGGCAGTCATTTCCTTCCCTTTATACATGAATGTGATTAGCTCCCACACCTGTTTCCTTTGCACACTGCAAGTTCTTATTTGCAATGCTGGATTGGGGTGCCATCAAAAATGAACAGCAACATGCCTTTTTCTAGTGAAAAACACTGTGCCTAGGAACACAAGTAAGGATAGGTAAAGTATTTCACACAAAATATGCACAGACCCAAACCTGGGTTCATTCAAAAAGCAGAACTGGATACAAACCTCTTCAAAGCTTTAACCTTTTTCTTGGTGGCTGTTAGGGCAAATAGGAGGTGCTAGGCTGACAGGTATGGATGCTGATGTCCTCTCATGATTCACAACGCAGGTACAGTACAAACAGCAAGAGTACAGACTTCCTTCACATGGCCCCACTGCTTTCAGTCTGATCTGGAAGGACCATCTCTAGGGTTGAGAGGGTAGTTCTACAGATTCTGAAGTGCCAAATCCCTTTGGAAGACACCAGACTATGATCCAAGAGATGCAGAAATGGTAGGTTAGGCTATTGCAACAGCTATTGAAAATGTGGAGTAAGCTGCTGAAACTTGCCTACTAAAGGAGCTGCAACCACATATGCTGGGCATGTGTGTGCATGTGCATGTGCGCATATAGATGCACATGTGTGCACACATTCAAAAAGGTGTGTGACCTCCCAAAATAAACTGCAACATTCTATTTTGCTATTGGCCAGAGATGCCCTCATGCCATTCAGTGTTGTAATCACATGCTTTGCCATTCCCAAGAGCATATTGTCACTATGTTTTTCACTTAGATGAGATTAAACTAAGCAGCTGGTCAGCAGCCTTGGTGTCCCTAGAGACATCAGGTAATGGAAGAGAAAAACCTAGACCTCTGTACTTAAACCCATTCCATGTTAACAGAAATTGAAAGTCTTCATCTGAAAACCCAAGTGACTCATACAAAATGAAATCTGGGTCCAGTTCCCAGACCTATTACCAAGAAAAATCCTCCACATGTCAGAGAGAAGTCTGCAAGGCCAAGGATAAATTCAGTTGTGCAGAGTTAACACCCTCTTATTCCTGGAGGCAGACATTCAAGGTTATGACACACTGACCCCACAGAACAAGACAAGGTAGCATCACCCTTTCCCTTACTATAAATTGTTCTGTTGCGAGAAGATGACTTTCAACGCTAGAGCTGTCATCAGCACTAAAATCATGAAAAGAAATAGTGTAAAATAAGATTCATTGCTCATTAATTTGTGCGATTAATTAAACAAGTTCCTAATTTTACCCACTGGGACATAAAATGCCTCAAGCCAATCTCTGAAGACAGCAGTTAGGCTCTGAACAATGGGCTCTCTTTCTGAGGAACTCTCTGTAATTCAGAACAACTGCATTTAAATGTACTGCAGCCATTCAAGTACATTTAGCAGTGCGGATATTTTTCTTCAGACCTTCTTTTTCCTTGGACATTCCCTGCTAGGCAAGGCTTCAGGGCTCTCAGTCTGCAGACAGCACAGTCTTCAGCATTCTCCATCTCCCAAGCACAGGTACTGAGAAGCAGGCCACAGGTCCTTTTTCCATACAGCAAAGAAAATGTTTTGTGATGAGGCAATGTACCTCCAAGGCCTGTATGTCTTCCTTCTTCACAGTCCTCATCTGGACTGTTCACCTCTTCCCTTCTGAAGTTGTCAGCACTGGCAATATTGCCATACTTCTGGCACCATTCTCCTACAGAAGCTCCTGCTTTGGAAGTAGGTGGCTCTGCAGCACTGCGGCTATCTGTGTACCTCACCAGAGAGCAGGCAGGTGGCCTCATGAAGTCTCCTGCAGATGGCAGCTCTCCAGGTCCAAGAGCCATAATACATCTGATCATCTGACAACATCTGCTGTCTCAGCAGTTTCCAAGTAACCTCATCTGAAGCCAGCCATGGTCTCTCGGCCTACACGGTGGGCTCTTCTTATCTGTCTATATCTGCTTTGGTTCATCTGTAAGAGGCAAATCCACCCTGCCTTCTCTGAAGACGTCTGCCTGCATCACAACTGACCTACAAATGGGCCACCATTTGCGCACATTAGTCATTTTATCCACATGAGTAGCCCCATCAAAGTCAGAGGAATCACATAAAGCTACTCACATGCCCAAGTCTGGGCTGACCTCGAGCCTAAGGGATTATTAAGAGACTACATGCTGGTGTGATGCTCATATAAAGGATCTAGTGTCATAAGCTTAGGATGACAGTATTACTTGCCACAAAGCCATGAATACACTACATAGGCCATTCCAAACAAGTGCAAATAAAACATTCAGATCAACACACATCATGTGTTTTGCTTGGGGCACACTTTAGAACAGAGACCCTTTAGAAACAGTTTTTGTATAGCTAATATCTGCCATACATGCTGCCAACAGAGCAGGCTGCCTTCCAGTCACATTCAGCAGAGCACTTAAAGAGGTGCTTAACTTTAAACTTGCATTAGTTTCACTAAAATCAACGGAAACAGAGCTTGTGCTGAAAGTTCAGTTTATGCCCAAAAGGTTTTGCTGATCAGGGACATTGTTCTGAACTGGAGTCTCAGTCACCAGGTGAAGCTATGAGTGACAGAAATGGTTAAGACACAAGTTTTAAAATTTCTAAGAAATATGCACAGGAGACGATCTTTTGTATATCAGACTGTCCCAGTCTGAGGATCTTCCAGAGATCGTGTAATCCCAGCTCTGCTATAAAATATAGCGAGGGATTCTAACCTTGCTGGATTACAAGATAAAGGACAAGATCTTGAAGCTATTACTGATTCAGAATTGAATATTGTCCTAGGCTTCAGAGAATAGTGATATTTTAAATCTCTACTTTTAATACCTTCACACTAACTGGAGAGGAGGAGGAGACTTTTTGTGGTGGCCTCTTTTGTGTCTTGTTTTAAAAGTGATTGTTGAGCTGCTCAGAGAATTTTGGCATGTGAGAATTTTGATGCTGTGTGTGGTCGGCACCCTTCAGAAAGCGGCTTTTAGGAGATCAATCCTGCATCGTTGAAGTGGAAGGTAAGTTTCATCACTGTGTTCAGTAGGAACAGGAGAATACCCCAGGGAAGCAGATAGCAATAGAAACAAGTGATACAGCTCTGTGTTAAACAGAGTTTGTAAGTGCTTATCGCTTGACTGCTTTATTCTTTTCTTTTTTTTCTTTGTAAATGACAGCCCTACTCGGCCTGAATGTCTTACATCTGAAGGTTCAGTACCTGGGCTTTCCACACCAGTTGTACACTAGCATTGCTCCAGTGATTTAATGGACTCAAAACACTATTAAATTGATGCATTTGTCTCTAAGTTATGTGAATATTTTTATAGGCCGGGGCTAGAACCCTAAAGCACATATCAGGAGGCCTTGATTCAATTCCTGGCTCTGTCACTGGCCTGGTGTATATTTTTTTAATCTTTTGCATAGCTCAAAATGACCAAAGAAATCTTCCTTCTGAGCTTCTAAATAACATTTCCACCAGAAAGAGACTTTTTTTAGGACAGTTATAAAATCCTTGGATGGGCATTCTTTTTATAATGAAAATCCCACCGCAGCCATTGCTACAGTAGGTGCCCTGAGTTGCCCACTCTAAAATCCTACATGCACTTTTCCCAGACTAGAAATCTGTTCCCCTGAATCATTATTTTATGACTTTCTCCCTTTGTTTCACAAAGGCACAAACGGGAATAAAGTTGCGAGTCTTGGAGTTAGCCCTTTAAAACAAATTGCCTTGCCATCATTTTAATAAGTTTGACAAGTTGGTCCCAGGCCCTCAGGAGGAAACTAATAAACGTTTAGTTGCTTTGCTATTGTTTTCCTAAAACAATTTGACTTCCTTTCTGATAGCCTCAAATTCCTTCATTAAAAATAGAGTAGCTGGGAGCCAGAGAAAGAGTTGAACTGGAGCCAAGTTGCTGCTTACAATGCAGCCTGCGTAAGATCACATTTTTATCCCAATCGATGAAGCCTCTTTAAAAGAATAGTAGGCAGACAGCTGCCAGTGCATGTCAGGCACAGCAAAGGAGCTGGGATCCCCCAGCCTCTTGCCTTCAAGCTTAGGGAATCTCCAGCCAGTCAGCTACTGTCAGACTACAAGAGGCTGAGTGCCAGGAGCCACCTGAGGTCTGCCTACCCTGTTTAAAGGGTCTTCCCTCAGACAAGGATCCCTGCTGGGTGCTCAGCATCAGCAGAGAGGTGGGTTCCAGCATGCTTTAGAGTTTGGGCCAAAGTTAAGTTTCAGTCACCTCCACCCACCTTACTCTGTGCTTCTCTCTCTACCTGTCCAGAACCAGCAGAAAGAGGTAATGGTTTATACTTTATTTCCTTCTTACATTAAAAAATGGAGATTATGTATGTGTGTGAGATGGTCACTGATTTAACACAAGTTCATAGATGTATAAGAAAGGAAAAGCTGTCTGGTGCTAGAGGAGGGGGTAGGCAGTGAGGCTTCCTGGGTTCAGCTCTTGACTTCGCAGAGCACTTGCTGAGGCCCTGGGCTAATCATTTAACCTCTCCCTGACTGAGTCCCCCCTTTATGAAATCGGGCTGGTACTCACCTCCCTCAACAGATTAGACTCCTGTGTACTGAGAGGTGTTCTGGAGGTGAAAGGTGGGTCTAGTAAGAGTAAGATTAGATGAGACTGTGCAGCAGACTGTTACAGTTAACAGCAGGCTGGAAGCTGACTGTGTATTTCAGAGATGTTCACTTCTTCTGAATCAAAGGAATTAATTATCTCTTCATTTTCTACTGATTAAACAGTTTCTGAATTTGAATGAGAAATTGTGGCTTTTAAGAAGAACTGGGTTTAGTCTAGAGAAGACTGAGGGAGGATTTAATAGCAGCCTGCAACTACCTGGAGGATGGTTTCAGAGAGGATGGGGCTAAACTATTCTCAGTAGCGGCAGATGATAGAACAAGGAGCAAAGGTTTCAAGTTGCAGCAAGGGAAGTTTAGGTCAGATATTAGGAAAAGCTTTCTCTCTAGGAGGATAGTAAAGCACTGGAACAGGTTGCCCAGAGAGGTGGTAGAATCTCCATCTTTTGAGGTCTTTAAGACCCGGCTAGACAAAGCCTTGGCTGGGATGATCTAGTTGGGGCTGGTCCTGCTTTGAGCAGGGGATTGGACGAGATGACCTCCTGAGGACCCTTCCATCCCCAACTTTCTATGATTCCATGATTCAATGGCAGACAAGGTTCTTTGCGTAAATGTGATATCTTTTATTAGACCAACTAAATAGTTGGAAAAGGTGTTCTTTGCAACCTTTTGGACACAAACACCCTTCTTCAGGTATTGGAGAGAGTCTATGACTCAATGACATTCTTCTGTCTCACCTTTTTTGATGAGCCTGTGCTAAATTGAAACTCTGGGATGGACAGAGATTAGGGTAAAAATTAAATCATTTCATATTTTTCTACAAATGAAATACATGGTACTGTATAAAACATCTCACCTGACTCCTAAGAATTTATCATAACACCCTGTTCCTGTACCCAAGGGCCCAGTCTAGCCCTGGAAATTAGACTTCTGGGATGAAGATGTCCCCACAAAATTACCTTCCTCAGAGGTCCAGAATCTAAGCAATGTCTACATTGGGGAATTTTAGACAAATATTTTCATCTGTTTAATAGCTCAGGTAGCACTGGCAGGAGTTTAGCCACCTCTTCAATAGTTTCCTGCCTTTTGGTCACATTGAGGAGCAGGTTCCTGGGGTGGTGATGGCAGTAATAGCCTGGATTCTAGCCTGACTAGTAGAATTATTTTCTCTGTAATGTCCTAGTTCATCAAGGCTGAAGAGAGGGGACACAGTCCCTTGGCATAACAACCCCCCTGACTTCCCAGAAAACTGCAGTAAGCTTAAGGAATCACATGCTTTCCTCTGGGACAACCTTTCAAAGCCACCAGTGTATCAAGGGAGCATTTATCACTGCATGAATCATCCTTCCTAGTAGAGCAAAACACTCCAGGAACATTTACTTTATGTGAAGAAGCCCCTTCAAATACATGAGTCTCAGGAAGCTGTTCCTAAGAAGTTCTCAGGAACTGTGCATTTGCAAGAATTTTCTAAGGGTACCAGTTTTTTATTGCTTAGATCATTTTATTTTAATTTGATGGTACAGAATAAATATGGATCAGTTCTAAAAGGTCATTGTGCTGATAACCTACTCAGAATTTCTCTCTGCCATTATGCAGGAGATTTGGCAGCTTGGATAGGGCAGTGATAGGAACTAAGGAAACAAGGTGGGAATGGACCTCCTGGGTCATGGGATTCAGCCCCTGTTATGGCAGGCAACCATGCCATTTAATCCCTTTCATAAATTCATTCAGCTCCATTTTAAAACTACTCGGGTGTCTGCCCCCGCACCTCCTATTGGAAGGCTATATCCAAACTTCACTCAGATGCCTAGAAACTTTCTCCTGATTTCTTGTCTAAATGTATTTATAACCAGCTTACACTCATCTGTTCATTGCCAACATTGTCCTTTAGCTTAAATGGTGTTACTTTGCTGTGGTGTGCATTCCCTTGCTGTACTCCTAGTACGTTCTTATCCCTGAAAAGCAGAGTAAATGAGCTTGCACTGAATTCCTAGTTACTGTGGTTAAACTGCTACTGGTACCTAAGCTACGTAGTTAAAAACTAGCCTGGGTGCCCCTGCACAGCACTGCAGTCACTCCTCTGACTCAGTTACACATATCCTTTGTCTCCTCTTGTACAACAGGCTCCTCATATTCTTGATCACTGTAGTAGTGATCCATACCTTCTCCATACCTGTTCCACTTTTAATTCATCTTCCTGGAGCAAGGGGACCTGAACTGTAGATCCTGCTAGCGATAGGTTTTCACCAGTGCCTTGTACAGAGGCATTAAAAATTCCCTCTCTCTACTGTCTCCTTGGACTGCATTTGCCTCATTCACTGCTGTATTACATGTGTAGCTCACAGTCGTTGTGAGCTGGAATCTTCTGCAGAGACAATGCTTCCTTACTTTATGTCATCAGCAAATTTCATCACCACACTCTCCACATTGTGGCCAGGTACAGACATTATGGGCATTTTTACAAAGTCATTAATGAAAAGCATCAAGCAAGAGCAGCCCCAAAACTGACCTTCGAACAACTTCAGTGATAACTTCCCTCCAGCCTGATACTACTTCTTTCAAGTCTACCCATTGTTGTTTTCCCTCTGGCCAATTCATTCTAACTGATACAGCAAAGCAACTGAGGAATCTGAATAGGAAAGGATCAGTCCCTTAGTATATATGATATGTATGTATATTAGAAAAAGCCTCAGTGTGCATTCAAGAGAACCAGATCTTATCCAGGATTACAGGTAATCTCCAAAGGAACAAGAGGGCATCCTCTGGGAACAGCCTTAGAGTAAGAAAAAGTAAAGAAATAACCAAGGAAAAGGGGATCACATCTGACTGTACAGCAAGGATCCAACAGAGGCAAGGAGGGTATATTACATTTCAGGCAGACCACACATATAACAGCAGCACTTTGCACCTCAATAGCAAATGGAAATCACTTTACAAGCATTAACTAACCAATTCTAAAACCGTCTCTCAGGTCAGGCCATACTATTATCATGCTTTTACAGATAGGCCAGTATGAAAAAATCCTATGGTATTTCATGAGGATAAAAGCAAAAGACTACGAAAATAAGGATCTAGGGAAATAACTCCAAAAAAACCCTAAATAATTTAATAGGGAATGGCTCTTTGTACTTTCTTTCTTTGATGTTTTTTAACTCGTATAATAGAATTCCATAGCAGGTACGTAACTGTTTATTAAGCCCCATAGAATGGTTCAAGCAACTTTTATATATTTTATAATATTACATGACACAGGATTTTTCTGCAAAGAAGAAAATAAAGGGCAAAATAGCAAAGGGCTTGTCTATCCAGCAAAGTTGGCACAAAATACCTAGGAATACCTGTAAAAGTACAGGTCATTAGCCATACTGTACCAATCCCCAGGTGGACACATTTAGTGCACACTTAAGTGAAATATAGGTTGCTTCACTTTCAAAGAGGAGTGAGGTATACATAAAGGTTCTCTTAGTGCCACTAAACACTGTCCACATGGGAAATTGGTGTGGAGTAACTCACACCATAGCTCACTGCACACTATCTTTCCTAGAGAAATAAGCCATAGGTTTGCTGACCAAGGAGATGCAGCACATCAGTATCAGAGCAGAAATTAGTCTTTTGTTCTTGGCCCTGTGCTCAGTTTACATGAGCCCCTTTGCCGCTTGATGTAGGGTTTGCAGCAAATGTTTATTCTGGATGGGAATGAACTATGGCTACAAGCAGGATCACTGGAGTGCAGGAAAACAGGAGAGCATACAGAATGCATGGTATAAAAGGTCTCCAGAGGAGGGTTTGCTTTTGTCAGTCTCAGATCACACTTCTATCGGATTTGCTTTCTGACATCAGGTTTGGGCCCAATAGACTGCAATCTGAACTCTCATTCTCATCACTGAGGCCAAGAACATCATAGGAATGAAAAATAGGATTTGATGTGGATGTTGATAATGAGAACATCTGACATGAGATAAGACTTAAACATTCTCAGAAAGGGCACAGTTCTTCATGCTTTAGAGCATTGGATACCTCCAAATATAGGCATATTTTTCCACAAGGGGGTTTCTCCCACCTTTCTCTGAAACGTCGGGTAATGGTCACTCTCTGAGATAGGATTCAGGAGCAAATAGACCCTGAATCTGATCTGTTATGACTGTTCCTCTGTTCCACATAGTATGTGCTGCATTTGGGGTTAATTTTAATATTTGGAGCCACATATGTATTTATATTTAGAATGTTTACTTCATTTTTTTTGTACAAGAGATTCTTGGCAAAATAAAAGACTCCTGTATGGCATAAACTCTGCTTTGATTGGTTGGCCTTTTAAAACGCCACCCAGGTTTCTCTTTGGTTTGTGCCCCATGTGGAAAATTCCCTAGTCCCTGGTTAGGATAAGCAAAGGGCTAGCCTAAGCATTTTGCATTTAGAGAAAGGCTCAAAACATGGCTTGTTGTCTTAAGGAGATGGCGTGTGAAACACACTTATTGGCAATTGGAAAGGGCAAAGTGAGGCTAGCAATTGGTGCCGCCCCCCTGCAAAGGGGAAGAGGAAATATAGGTAGAGACCAGGAAGGGAGAAAACAAACAGAATTATTATCTAAAAAGAGAGAAAGATGAGTAACTAGACATGAGAGAGACACTGGGGACGACATTAAGAGAAAAAGAAAGTGGGGGGTGAGTGGGGAGGAGACAGAAAAAAAAAGAGTGAGAGGGAGAGCCA